AGGTCAATTATTAGGAAGTACTCAGAATGTTTTCTCAGTAACTATCTACATGAATCTTGTTCTACAATGAGGTACCAATTCACACCCATTAGGATAACTGTTATAAAAGAACAACAAAACCACCAGAAAATAACAACCATTGGTGAATATGTGCAGAAATCAGAATCCTTGTGCACTGCTGGTAGGAACGTAAAATAGTGCAGCTACTGTGGAAAACAGTATAGTGGTTCCTAAAAAATTAAACATGGAATTACTAAATGAGCCACTAACAGAGGATCGAGATACACAAAATATGAACTTTTATGAATAAGAAAAAGATAAACACTCCATAAAAAAGGGGGGGGGCAAAAGCCGTGAACAGGCAGTTTGCAGAAGAGAAAACAGGAGTGTCAATAAATATATTTTTTAAATGTTCATTGTCATTACTAACCAATATATATTAAACCACAAAAAGATACCATCTAAACCCACCAATCAGGACTTAAGTAGTCTTAAGTAGTTTGGATACCAAGAGTTCCCTACAATGTGAAGCCTAATTGTTAAAGGCACAGATTCCTGGGTCCAAATCCTGGCCCTTCCATTTATTAGCAGAATGCCTTGGGCACGCAATTTAGTATTTTTAAGGCCTCAGTTTCCCCAACTGCAAAATGGAGGATAACACTAGTACATTGGATTGGTGTGAGGATTAAATACTTTGATACAGATGAAGCATATAGAAGAGTCAGTGCCTGACACAGTAAGTACACAATAAGGTTTTCTTATTATTCATATTCGTGACAGCACAGCACTGTTGGTAGACATCTACATTGGTACAGCCACATAGGAAACCATTCAGAGGCGCCTGGGTGGCTCAGTCGTTAAGCGTCTGCCTTCGGCTCAGGTCATGATCCCAGGGTCCTGGGATGGAGCCCCGCATCGGGCTCCCTGCTCGGCGGGAAGCCTGCTTCTCCCTCTCCCACTCCCCCTGCTTGTGTTCCCTCTCTCACTGTGTCTCTCTCTCTCTCTCTGTCAAATAAATAAAACCTTTTAAAAAAAGAAAAGAAAAGAAAAACCATTCAGCATTACTGTGTAGGATTAAGAATACATAGTCCCTGCAACCAGCTGTTCTATTAGTATATTCCTTGAAGAAACTCTGATTTCAGTAAGAAACATACAGAGAAACATTCACAGAAGCAGTGTTTGTTCTGAAAACATAAATATCTACCCAGGAGAGAAAGAATGAATCATGGTATATTAATATGACTTAATAACATATAGCATGGAAATAAATAAAGCTACATGCATCCAGATGACCAATATCACAAACATAATACTGGAGGAAAAAGCAACTCACAGAAGCACAGAGAGTATGGGGCCAATGATGTAAGCTCAAAGACATCAAAAGCTAAACAACCTACCGGATATATAGCATTCCTAAAGAAGAGGAAGGGAGGGATGCATTTAAAATGCATTTAGGGGCACCTGGGTGGCTCAGTCCTTAAGCATCTGCCCTCGGCTCAGGTCATGATCCCAGGGTCCTGGGATCGAGCCCCGCATCGGGCTCCCTGCTCGGCAGGAAGCCTGCTTCTCCCTCTCCCACTCCCCCCCACCCCCCACTTGTGTTCCCTCTCTCGCCGTGTCTCTGTCAAATAAATAAATAAAATCTTAAAAATAAAATAAAATAAATAAAATAAAACAAAATAATATAAAATAAAATGCATTTAAAAATGCAATTTAAAAATTGGGATGGTAGTTATCTCTAGGGGGCAGGAGGAAGGATTTAATTGAAGCAGAGCACAGAGGAAAGGCAGTAGTTTTGGTAATGTTTCCTTTTTTAATCTAGATGGTAAATAATTGGGGTTTTGTTGTATTCTCTAGCTTTTATATAATTATTACAGATTTGTGTATATAAAATATTTAATAATAAAAAGTTTAAAAGTCGGCACAAAAATCCAGGGGGAAAAACCCAGCCATTATTACTGTAAAATCACTTGAAAAACACTTGTGGTCATATCCACTCCATAGTTCTTCTTTGAAACACACAGAATTTTCACAGCTATTCGTTTGAAGGTATTGAGCTCAAAGCCTTGGGCAACTCAGCCCAGGAAGTCAGCAGAGAGAGAAGGGTGCTGGGCACAAAGCCTGAAGATCTGCCCAGGCTTACATCAGGTGGACGAGAAATCCACAAAGAGCAGTGTGAAGCCACCATTCATTCTCCTGTCTTTCCAAATCCTGTCACCACCTGATGCTCTCGCCCTGACGGGAAGCATGCTGAGAGAAGATGACTTCCCGCCTGTCTCTGGAACACGACCTAACTCCTCCCTGGGCACCCAATCTCCCTTTCCGTCCATCCCCTCTCCACAATGCAACTCGAGCCAAGCTCTTCCTAAACCCCAATCCTCTCCACACCATCACCTCCCTCGTGAACACTAGTCCACGGATCCCACTGGCCAGGGATAAAGCAGAGGCCACACTATGTAATTAGCAAGGCTTCAAATGACTTGGTTCCTACTTACTTCACTTTTGCTCTTCACACCCAGCTTATTCTCTGATTGCAAAGGTTTAAAGCAGTGGTTCTCAGACTGCTTCCCCTGGACTAGCAGCATCAGCAATACCTGGGAACTTAGGGAAATGCACACCTAGCCCAGACCAACTAAACTGGAGTAAACTCTGGAGGTGGATCCAGCCATCTGAGTTTTAACAAGCCTTCTGGGTAATTCTGAAGCGCACCAAAGTTTGAGCATCAACTGGTTTAAAGCATGAATGAAAGGTATATTATTATTTGAAGAACTCTGATGGAGAAAATAAAAAAGTACTGTATAGCACAGTAATTAGAAGCACACACTCTGGGGTCACCGTGCCAGGGTTCAAATGTCTGCTCGGCTTCCTCCTAGCTTTGTAATCACAGAACAGTTGCTTAGATTGCCTCAGCAGAGCGAGACACTTAACAGCATAGGTCCCACAGCAAGCCTGCTTGGATTTAAGTCCTGGCTCTACCTGCTATCAGCCACGTGACATTGAGCAAGTCACTTATTTTCTCTGAGCCTCAGGGGCCTGATTTACGAAAGTGCAAATAATAGTACCTACTTCATACAGTTGCCGTGAAGATGAAATGAACATATATATGCACTGTGCTCAGAACTGTCCCTGATACACAGTAAGTACTGTGTATTATTTATTCTATGTTATTAATTTCATGGAGACCACATTTTATTTTGGAGATTAAAAAAGTCAACTAATATTCATAACAAATGAATAAATGCTAATGTCCATAGCAAGTGACTAAAATTCATCTATTCTGGTAAGGAAAAACTTTCCTTAGAAAAGTTTCCTCACCTTTTTTTTTTTTTAAGGTAAATGAGTTTGTTTGGTTTTTATCCAGTATACCATTTATACCTTCTCTGAGTTTATTTCCTTCCAATCAAATAGTACTTACCTGGAAGCAATGACCTCCTCCAAAGAGTCGGGGAGGGGGGTTGTCTGCCTTGAGGGGGTCCCTGATTTCAGATTAATGCCTATTTTTCAAAGCAAAGAACTTACAAAGAATGAAAATGGACTTACTGAACAGTATCCCTATGATAGGGAAAATATTTCTGGGAACTATTCTAAATACATATCCAGTATTAACGTAGCTAGTAACTCTCCATATAAAAGTGCCATTAAGTTACCCATCTGCAGTCACTGAGAAGGAAACTGAAAATATCATGATACACCAATTTGGATAGTAGGACTTTCTTTCTATCTCTCTACTCACTATTAGGAGATCATACTGTGTCCCCTGACCAGAACATGCATGCCTGGCCACAGCATGTTCAGTGCAGAGCACATTCGACTGAACATAAGCTAGTATAACAAACCCATGTTTTTTGAAGACACAATAAATGGATCTAAATAATGTGAAATTATGCAGTGATATTTTTTCCAATGGTCTCAAAGTATTCTACCTCATAATTAGAATATGAAAGAAAATACGAGAGGAAAAAAAAATACACTGGGGCAAGTTACAAAACCAAAGTCAAAATATACAGCTTGTTCCTGAGAATTCGATATTTCTTAGAACCATAAAGATAATATATCAATTGAGCCTGGCTTAGAAATTAGTTTAGTCATCAAATATTTACTGGAGGTTTCTGGAATACCTCTAATAGAGGTATATGTGAATCTGGTATACACAGAAGTTTTTATCTGTGATTCTCTTGATTTCTCTAAGGTTTTAAAAATCAGTTTCCTGGGCAAAATCAAGTTAAGGCAACATAAAAATATTTCGTAAAACAAAACAACAACAGAAAGAATGAGCATTTAATACTATGGGGGGGGTGGTTATAATTTTTATTTGCATGTGATCACCACATGTTACACGGTGTTCTTGTTTTGTTTTGTTTTCCCTGGAACCCTAAACTTCAACTATGAGGTGAGCTGAAGGAACTTTGGAAGAATCTCTTTTCATAGCTGTCTACTTTAAAATGGAAGTCACTGATGACAAAGAACATCCAATCGACTCTGGATTTTAAGTCATTTCCTCAATGCAAGAAATCTTCCTTTGGAGGGAAAATAAAGGTTAATAAATTAAGATTACTCAATTTTTAAAAGGCATCAATGTGTTCTGGCAAAGTCAAGCTGGATACAGCTCACATTTCTGCTGACTGATGCTACACAATCTCGATCACACAGAAAAGGTAACAAAGTCATATTTTAGGACTAAAAACCCACAATGGCAACAAAAACTGCTATCTTCTAAGATTTTTAGAAAAGCACACAGGATGCTTCATTTACGACAAAGTACAGTAAGTAATAATACACTAGCCTTCCTGGATTGCCTGGAAAAAAAGAAAATATTGATTCCTCAGATTAAGACTTGCCTCAAGATCCTCCAAAGTAAGGAAAAATGTTTTCAACCATAAATGTAGGAGATGAACAGACCGCAGCTTCTCCCTACTCCACCTGCCGGTATTAACCAGGCAGGCGCTGGTAAGGATTCGGGACTTGCAGGGCCCCTCGAAGTAAATCATCAGAACATTTACCTGTATCGTCCTCTGAGTGCCATCAACGTTGACAGCCAGTAAGGGTGAAGCCAGGTTCCACGTGCTGGTCACATTTAGTTTCGACCCATCAACTTCCACCTGTTGTGACACCAAATAAGACTATTACCATGAAGAAAGACAGAAAACTGATCTCAAGTTCATCGCTGCATACAAAGCAGCAGCCATTTTAAACAGATGGCTCCCAAACAACCTGTCATGTTTACTGCTCCTGCCATGAAAGACAGGGTCCAACAAGAGTCTTCTTAGCCATCTCTGGGGAGAGGTGAAGGACCTGGGCACAGCTGCCTCTGGGTACTGAGGTTTCAAGTGATTTCCAGTAAGTAACAAACAGCCTTCTAACTCTAAACCTATCTGGACATGCTACATTTACTGCAATTAGACAAGTAATGCATATAAATTCCAGTGACATTTTGCAACCCACACATCAGGGCTTGCATATAATATCCTCTCCAAGGACCAAGAAAGAACTTTTTCTTTGTTAATTTTAATGAAGGACTATGCACTGTTATCTTAATTAAACAGAAGCTTTAATTAGGCAAAATTCTTTGGTGCTGAATATTAAAAGTCCATTTGAACTTTGCAAAAGTTCTGTCATATTTTTGTCGATCATAAATGACTAATTTCATCAAGTCATCATTTATGAAGATGCAAAAAAAAAATCCCATAACCTTCTAAAACAGATACTTTTAAGAGAAAAAGTCTAATTTACAAATAAATAATATAAAACTGAAAGGAAAAAAGCAAAGCTAAATTAAAATAAAAAGTATTGCTAGTTATTGCTTCCTTTTCACTTACTGCCTCCCCAACTCATATATGAGAACTAAGAAAAAAAATAACAGTATTATTTTAACTCTACAGTAAACAACCTAACAAAGGGATATTTGAGTTTGTTCAAGGTTCAAAATAAACCGGTAGCAGAATCAAGACACATGATCCCTAGCGATTCCTTTACTCTTTTTTTTTTTAAGATTTTTTTTATTTGTTTATTTGACACAGAGAGAGAGAGAGAGAGAGAGAGCAAGAGCAGGAACACAAGCAGGGGGAGGGGGAGAGGGAGAAGCAGGCTTCCCGCCGAGCAGAGAGCCCGATGCAGGGCTCTATCCCAGGACCCTGGGATCATGACCTGAGCTGAAGGCAGCCACTTAACGACTGAGCCACCCAGGCGCCCCACCCTCTTAATTCTCTTAAACAATACTTACTAAAATAAAAGAAACATAGATGTTACCATTTAGAAAAGTGTGTCCATCTGTATCTATATAGACTTTATGTATATATATTTCCATAATGGTGTGGTCATACAGTCTAGAAACTAAGATATGCTCCTCGCTATGTAATGAAATATCAGTGGGACAGACATGATGCACTTGCTTGTGCTTCCAGGTTCAGTAGCCTCTGTGTCCACAGGGCACAGTTCAGTAAGTAGGAAGAAAGAACAATGCCTTGGGCCTCACCTGACATTGCTGTCTTACTCAGTTAGAGCTGCTTACTAAACTGGACCATTTAACTTCTCTGAACCTTAGTGGCCAAACTAAAATATAATAAAAATATCTATCTGAAAGGGTGGGGTAAGATTAAAGAGGTTAACATATAAAAGTTTCTACTTCTACCAATATTCCTGTCACGGTAGGTCCTAAATATTGTCTCCCTTCTGTTCCTGATGGTTCCACCATCCTTAAATGAGTTTTAAAAATAAGGTCAGATAATCATACCATTCCATAAATTATTTACTACTAAAACACTAGATGACAAAGATCTGTGAAGCATCAATAATACATTTTAAAATTATCTATTTAGCAAATTAAGTATCTCCTTATGTAATGAAAGATTTCTCCCCAAATTATCTCCTTATGTAATGAAAGATTTCCAAAAGAAGCTCCCAATAGATAAGAGTTTTACAAATATTAAGTGCTAAAAATACCCTTTAAAACTGAGAAAAAGATTTGCTTTGACGTGGCTTCTAAATTTAAAAGGTTAAAAAAGGTCAATGCTCAATTATAAAAGTTTTATCTTTTTAAAAAGAGAGTTAAAGTCTGTAAGGAAAGATTTTTAATGATAAGCACTTAAAATTTGTATTTGATATTAATTTTAAATCAACAGGGGTGACAGAATGAACCTGTAATTGTCATCGTTAGGACTTATGAGGGGGAACTGAGGGAAAAAAAATGAATTTACTCAAATCCTGTAGAGGAGAAACCAATTTACCACAGCCTAAAGAAAACTATTTTTATGAATGCTGAAACAAAATGTGATATACCCATATAACAGATTATCAGTTGGTAATAAAAAGGAATGAAATGCTGATACATGCTACTTACATGGATGAAGCTTGAAAACATGCTAACTAAAAAGCCCATCACAGAGGACCACACACTGCATAGTTCTGTTTGTAATGAAATGTTCAGAAGAAAAAATTCCATACAGAGAGAAAACAGATTAGAGGTTGCCTTGGGCTGGGGGTGTGGAGATGGATGGAAGGATTGAAGGGTGACCGCTGTGGGGTATGGCCTTTCTTACTGGCATGATGAAAATGTTCTAAAAGTGACTGCGGTGATAGTTGCACAGCTCTGGGAATATACTACAAGCCACTGAATTGTACAATTTAAATGAATAAATAATATGGGTATGTGAATTATATCTCAATAAAGCTGTTAAAAAATAAGTAACAAATGAAAACAGAAGGGAGGGGTTTCACTTTTGTAAAAAATCAGAAGCAATATTTTATGAGAAATTAAAGACCTAAAAAACGGATATATATATATATATATATATATATATATATATATACACACACACACACACAACACACACACATCATGTTCATGAATTAGAAGAGTTTTAGTATTATTAAGATAGAAGTTCTCTCCCAAACTGATCTATATATTCAATGTAATTGCAATCAATATCCCAGAAGGCTTTTATTTGGGGGGGGCGGGCGGGTAGCAGATTTTAAAATAGAAAACAAAGAATATAGAACAGTAGAAAAACAAAGAATATAGAACAGTAAAGATAATTTTGAAAAGGTAACAAATTTGGAGAACTCATGTCATTTGCCTGTAAGAGATCCCATTAAGCTATACTAATCAAGATACTGGTGTGAGAACATAGTCATTAACAGAACAAAATGAGAGTTCAGAGACCCATATATAAAGGGTTAATGGATTTTCAAAAAAAAAAGTGCCAAGACATTAAATGGGGAAAGCATAGATTGTGAATAGCACTAAAACAATTAAACAGCCATATTCTAACAAACAAATCCTGACCTCTATCCCACAATATTAAAAAAAAAAATGATCTCAAAACAATGAAAACTAAATGCCTAAAACTTAAAAAACTTCTGCAAGAAAACCTAAGAGAAAACCTTTATGACCTTGGTCCAGGCAGAGATTTCTTAGGACATAAGAAATACAAATCTTACAAGAAAAAATAGATGAATTAGACTTCATCAAAATTATAAATTTCTGTTAGAAAGACCTGTTAAGAAAAGGAAAGTTGAGCCACAGGTTGGGGGAAAATATTTGCAAAACATGTATCTGATAAAGGACTTGAATCCAAAATCTATAAACAATTCTCTCTCTTTTTTCTTTTTTTAAGATTTTTATTTATTTATTGAGAGAGAGAGAATGGTAGAGAGAGAGCATGACAGGGAAGACGGTCAGAGGGAGAAGCAGACTCCCTGCCGAGCAGGGAGCCCGATGCGGGACTCGATCCGGGGACTCCAGGATCATGACCTGAGCCGAACGCAGTCGCTTAACCAACTGAGCCACCCAGGCACCCAACAATTCTCTTTTATAAGTCAATAAGAAAACCAACTGAATTTCTTTAAAAATGGGCAAAAGACTTGACCAGACACTTCGTCAAGGAAGAGAGATAGATGACAAGCACATCACATTAAGAAAAACAAAATAACAAAATAGCACTACCCATCCACTAGAATGGCTAAAATGAAAAGGAGTGATAATACTAAGAGCTGACAAACATGTGGAGCAACTGAAACCTTTATACACAGCAGGTAGGAATGCAGAATAGTAGACCTGCTTTAGAAAACCCCAGAGAAGTGAAGAGATATGTTCACTCACAGAGTGCTCACGAATGTTCACAGAAGCTTGTTTATGATAGCAGAATACATACATAAAATTCACATTCACCTCAAACTGAAAAAACAACAAAAGTCCAATGAACCAATTATAATGGACAATTATGGTATATACACACAACAGAAAGTGAGCAATAAGCATCTCAAAAGCATTATACTAAGTGAAAGAAGGCTGATGCAAAAGGATATACAGAACATGAGTATGATTCCATCTATAGAACATTCTGGAAAAGGCAGAAATCAGGTCAGCAGTTCCTAGGGTCTATGGGTATGAGGATATGCTTGACTAGGAAAGGGCATGAGGGAACTCTATGGGGTGATGGAAATGTTCTAAATCTTGATTTTGGTGGTGATTATATGACTATACAGATTTGTCAAAACTCAAACTATACAATTAAAGAGTAAATTTTTTATTAATTATACCTCAATAAATCTTACTTTTTTTTAAGATTTTATTTATTTATTTGACAGACACAGCGAAAGAGGGAACACAAGCAGAGGGAGTGGGAGAGGGAGAAGCAGGCTTCCTGCGGAGCAGGGAGCCCGACATGGAGCTCAATCCCAGGACCCTGGGATCATGACCTGAGCCGAATGCAGATGTTTAATGAATGAGCCACTCAGGTGCCCCTAAATCTGACTTTTAATAACAAAAACAGGGTGGTTCAGTCAGTTAAGCATCCGACTTGATTTTGGCTCAGATCATGATCTCAGGGTCTTAAGATCAAGCCCCATGTCGGGCTCCGCACTGAGTGGGGAATCTGCTTGAGATTCTCTCCCTCTCTCTCTCTCTGCCTCTGCCCCCCCATTTGCTCTCTCTCAAATAAATAAATAAATAAATAAATAAATAAATAAATAAATAAATCTTTAATAAAACAGAATGACTCTAAAAACAAAAACAGGAGGAAAAGTCTACCTCTTCAAAAACTGAAAATAGTATTTTTGAACTACTTTTATCTTCCCTTACCGATAAATTTATTTCTCTCCTTTCGTCCTCTGCTATTGGATGAGTGGATGTGAATGTTAATTGGGAAGAAAGACAGAAGGAAAGTTTCTTCTAGACAGAAACACGGGGGGAGAAAGTCATTTTCAAGTCCTGTTGATTACATGAAGGACAGACACAGAGGCAAGATGAAGCTATCAGAAATCAGAGATCAGAGACCTCCCCGTTTCCCTTTGCGTGGACCCCTGGGAATGGGTAGGGGGGCAGAAATGGAGAGAGATGCATGAAAACATTCTGACAGGTATCAGATTTAGGGCACCTAAAATCTAAGCTGGAGGTCTACTTCTGGAACAGAGTCTAGGAGAGGCTATAGGCTTGGTGTCATGGCATTCCTAGTATGGTGTATGATCAAAAGCACCGCTGGAGGAAGAAGCTGGATAGATGACCCAAGCACATCATGTTAGGTAGGAATCCAGACGTTTTTACCTAGCTTAGTGAGACGACAGAGTCTGGGTCAGGATAAAGACAACATAGTACCGGGGACTCCATGACTACAGGCAAATAGTAACCAGGCCTACGGGTGGCAGAGGCCTCTTCCATGACAAAGAGGATGAATCATCACCTGACAGTCTTGGGTCCAGGCCCTTACAGCAAAGCCTTGTAAAGACAGTGTGGGTCTGAGTTCTCCTGCCCACCTCTGTAGTTGAGTCCAACCATGTACCTAAAGGCCTCTTTTACCTGCATCCAAACTCCACACCACAGTGGTAGCTGGAGTAAGGGAAAGAAACCCGAAACACCATGGTATCTGAAAGACACTGCTTAAACCAAAGTGTTGGGGCACCTGGGTGGCCCAGATGGTTAGGCATCTGCCTTCGGCTCAGGTCATGATCCCAGGGTCCTGGGACCATGGGCTCCCTGCTCGGTGGGGAGTCTGCTTCTCCCTCTCCCTCTACTGTTCCCCTTGCTTGTGGCTCTCTCGCTCTGTCAAATAAATAAAATCTTAAAAAAAAAAAAACCTTAAAAAACGAAAACCAAAACTAAAGTGTTTCCTCCCTCTCACTCCTTACTAAAGGTAGAGGGCTTGTGAGGAAGATTATGTGACAGACACACAGAAACTACATTTCCTTGTACACCTGGGAATTAATAAGTATAATTTTGCAACGTCACTTATAACTGAAGCAAGGATGTTATCAGAGCTCCAAATCATAATCTATGAAGCATATCTGCAAATTTTAAATGAAGGAAAAGAACATGCTGAAAACCATCAAGTGCCTTCTCAGGCCTCAAGCTGTAAACAGATTTCACCAAGAAACAATTCAGACCAGCAGATGCAATGATTCTATTAATGCGTTCATGAGATGAGTGAAATCTAGAGGCCAGTAGGAGGGGCAGGGAATTTGAACATTTTAATACCATAGAAAGATAAGAGCAGACTGAACTGAAGAATTCTTGTTACTATGCCATATATATTGTTTACACCTAATTCTTCAGCCAAGGAGGGATGAAGCAGCAGATGTAGAGTGGAAGTGGCATTTCACTATTACAGCACTGAGAACCTGACATAAAGAACCACCCTATCTTTTCCATGCCAAAAACTAATAGAAAGTGACATCTAGGACAATGGAACTAACAGATTTGATGAGAGAGTATTAGAGTAACAGGCCTAACAAGGAAAAGCTACGGGCTGCCCATGCTTATACATAACCAACTACCCTACTGCACATAATGAACAGAAAATAACCAATACTGGATCTTCGCATACAATTTGCAAAACATATTTTTTATCAAGAGAATAAGGTAAATTAAGAGTATTATAACACAAGAAGAACTACTCGGAGAAACACAGGAAGAGTTCAGATAAATAATTCTGCAAAGTCTCAAAGACAACCATAGGAAACATGACTCCTCTTTTAAAAAATGAGCTCAAAGAAGAAAAACAAAGGTTCAAAGAAGAGATCATACAACAACAGAAGGAAATGAAAATCAAGCTGGTAGAACTCAGAAAAAAAATGAAGAGAAAAATAACATTATAAAGATAAAAGCCACCTTAAGAAGCAACCAAAAATAGAATCAATGAGACTACAAAGAAAGACAAGGACATGGAGAAATCATATAAAACAAAACAGAGAAGACTAGCAATATAAAAATTTATAGAGAAGACAACAGATATGGAGGAGGGAGAAATGGATCCAAAGAATATACAAACTTTTTCAAAAAGGCTTATAAAGAAAAAAGAATAAATGCAAGTTCAAAGATCTAAGGTAAAACTTTTGAAAATAAATAAAACCTTGAATTTGTAGAATGATGTTGTTTATGCAACTTTACGCAACTTTAAGAATAAAGACAATTTTATGTGGCTATTTAGGCAAAAATAAGAAATCAGGCACAAGCAAGGAAAAACCTCAGGTCAGCCTAATTTCTCAAGGGCAAAACTGATACGTAAGACCACAGAGCAATGTGGTCTAAGTACTAAAAAGGAAAATGTTTCCCCCCAATTTTATACCCAGCCAAGATGTCCTTAAAGTATATCATATAAACATATCTTGTAGCATATAAGAGAACTTAGCACCCCTTATTTATAAAGGAGGCATGTCTCTATATATATTGATATGAAACCATGCCCAAGAAATTACAGAATAGCATATACAATATGTTATCATTTCTTAAGGGGGGAAAAAAAAACCTGTGTGGTTTTTTTTAAAGATTTTTTTATTTATTCATTTGTCAGAGAGAGAGAGAGAGATAGAGAGAGAGAGAGCACAAGCAGAGGGAGAAGCAGGCTCCCTGCTGAGCAAGGAGCCCGATGCGGGACTCAATCCCAGGACCCCAGGATCATGACCTGAGCCGAAGGCAGACGCTTAACCGACTGAGCCACCCAGGCGTCCCACCTGTGTGGTTTTTTAAATGTATAGAATATGTCTAGACAAATATATAGAGGAGCAAAGGGGTTGAGGGACAGGGATAGAAGGAAGGCTTGCCTTTTACCGCAAATCTATTCATACTTTTTAAGTTTTATTCTGTATATGTATGTCATATATTCAAAACTATAAAAGTGAGGAGATGTGTAAGGGCCTATTTTCCTCTCTCATGGTAGCATGAAGTCAATTATACCTTCCACTAAAAGGTACACAATACATAATAGTTGTCCTTCTAAAACTTCGTTTTGGTTAACACACCAATACTCATTTCAATTTCTCTGGTCATAGATTTATTGATTTCATCTCCAGCACCCAATTTTACAATGTATTTTGGACAATCCCTCTGTTTCAACTCTTCCTCATCTAAAAATGAGGGACCTGAGTGAGCAATGCTGAAGATCTCTTCAAGGCTAAAATTCTATGGTTTTATGGTTGCAAAGCACTTTTATTTAAGATACACTTAGTTAATTTCTGACATGGCAAATTCCAATATTAGAAAGGGATTTTGTTTTGCTCAAGCACTTCTGTTTAGGGTAGGAAATTTTTAAGATCTTCCCTTTAACAGGCAATAAAAGCTAACAAACTCAAATTCAGTGTGGGAATTAAAAAAAAAAATAGACCAATAGTAAAATGACAAATGACATAAATAAAATGTCATACCTTTCAAGGCAGACAATATTGTGGAAATGTTCTAAGCACTATGAAAACACTAAAATATTTTAAATTATTTTAAAACGTTATTTAAAAAACAATCCAAAGACACAACATCTCTGTTTAGAAACACTAACCTAGACACATAAAGATTCCGTGGCTTTATTTTATTTTTTTTAAGATTTTATTTATTTGACAGAGAGAGACACAGCGAGAGAAGGAACACAAGCAGGGGGAGTGGGAGAGGGAGAAGCAGGCTTCCCGCCGAGCAGGGAGCCTGATGCGGGGCTCAATCCCAGGACCCTGGGATCATGACCTGAGCCGAAGGCAGTTGTTTCACCAACTGAGCCACACAGGCGCCCCCATGCCTTTAGTTTAAATAGACCTAGGACTCAAGTGCACCAAATCTACATTAATTATCATATTAACTCTGACCCACACTCTTTGGCAGACGACCTCCTCTTTTCTTTACCAAAACTGAAGCCACGAGACATAAGTCTTCTTATTTTTTGGCATCCCTGAACCTTCTCTCCTTTACTGATATCTCACCCACCGGCCGATCCCCCTCTGCCTCACGCACGCAGAGAACACCCGTATTTTCACAGATGGGCACCTGACCCACTATGCCCTCCAACCACCAAACTGCTTCTTTCCTTCTTTTCTCTGACAGGCTCTAGAACAAGTGTTCTGTGCCTATTTTCCTACCATGTAACTTTTTCCACAACCTTCTACAACCTGGCTGCTAAAACTATATTCTCAAAGGTCACAAATCTTCTTCAGCAATTGTATACTGTCTTCTTAATTCTCATTCCTCTTTACTTCTCAGCAGGAAAGAAGACCTCTTGGGAGGAGGTGATATTTAAGCTAAGATCTGAAGAATGAGTAGAAATTAGTTGGCAGCAGTGGGTAGGTGGGAATATCCAGAGGGAATATCCCAGAGGGACTCAAATGTAAAAAAAAAAAAAAAAAAAAAAATCCCAGAGGCAAGAAAGAGCTTAGCATGGCACCTGGGAGGGGGAACGATAAGAAGCACCAAAGGATTCCAACTGGACAGTGCCATCATCCACTTTTTTAAAGATGAGTCCGGCTACAGCCTGGAAGAATGAATCAGATGAAACAAAAATGAAAATTATGGTGACTGGATCTTGACTACCGGGAGTGGGCAGAAGCGGGGTACTCAGCAGCCATAGAGACTGGGGAAGGGAGTGAAAAGTGTGAATACAGAGTCAGGAATAATCACGAAGAAAAGGGAGAGGGATGGGCTTATCAGAAAACCAGCAAAACTGCCACCCAGTGTTGGATGCTCAGCCACAGAGGGACACCACGCACATGTAATGGCATGAATCTGCCTTCGGTAGGTGGTTTTCCCCAGCAATGCTCAGGTACTTTGCCTGATGGAGGCATAAAGAAACTGGAAGGCGGAGTTCATCTAAGTTTGGGAATGATGGAAGAACAACGGGCTTGAGGAAGTTAAGGGTATCTGTAAGCAAATTACTGTAATTATAGGCCAGGGTAGCTAAGCTGGATAAAGAATGGAAAAACAGGAAGGATCCATGGATGGGAGAGAAAATATAAGGCCTAATGGTTGTATTGAGGCAGAGGTTGCTAGGCTTCAAATGCAAGGGAGGGAAGGTGGAGGCTGCCAGAGGGAGGGGACATAGTGATGTAGCCAGGTGACGTGAACTTCAAAGAACAAGGGTTTTCCAAGAGGGAGGGGAACATGTCTAGAATGGTACTAGGGGAAACAAAAGTCTCACTTCCCATCTTAAGGTGCATGTGTAACGGGAGAAAAACCACCACCAGGTTTCTGTGAAGGCAAGTAAGTGGCAGAACGTTCAGAGAAAATGTCTGAGAATACAGGGCAGTTTGTTGATGACAAAGCAAGAGACACAGAGGCCACAGTGGAAAGGGTGGAGAGGAAGTGGAGAGATGGCGTGGAAGAGCGTGGATGACCGCAGAGGCTTTCCAACAGGCCCGCTTCCCTCGGCCCTTACCACAAGCACCCCACCTACACCTGCTCCTCCCTCTCACCTGGACCACCACAATAGACTAGTCTTCCACATGTATTTTACTGTACCTCCACTTGGCTCTCCTCACTATAGGCAGAATAGTCTCTGGTAAACATGAACCTGATCATTTACAAAATCAGAGGTAAAGGGGGAAAAATGACAGTGTGAGAATGACCAAATAAAGGTCCTGCCTGCTTTTTTGGAAAGTGTAAACTCCAAAAAAGATGTGTAACACTGCAATCTTCAGGATGAGAACATCGTATGTGTCAGCATTCTGTAATCATTTAAAGATTACATTCTATTAAAGTATTGATATTTTAAGTTCAAATGAAACAGAGCAAGGCTACGGTGGATAGAATTCACGCAATCTGTCTTAACACACACGATTTTCTGCAGTTTCCCCCACCTAAAGAGGATGACTTCAGTTAGGTTATTCATAAGAATGTTTATGGTATTTAAAATACCACTTCGAAAATATGACTTCTTTCCTATTTCAAGAAAGCACTTTCTCATATTTAACAGTCTACTGGTAACTTTGTACTCCATTAAAAGCATTTAACTGCATTTGTGGTACAAATAATGTTGATGTGGAATATTTTCCATGAGTTGTTTGGAACATTCAATTTTCCTATCTACGTAATCATAAGGGAAAAAGAAAGTACACACCCAAAATTAATTTGACATTTGAGAGAGATTACTTACATCCTTTACCACTAAAAAAACAAAAAAAGCACTTCCTCAGAGGTACCTCATGACACAGTTAAAATATTATAACTTCTATTGCAGTAGGCACCTGCTAACTGAGTTTTTTCAACAGTAGGAATGTAAAACTTACAAAACAAAGTATTTGCCAAAAAGCTTTTCCAAAAATAATAAAAATTTGGGAAGATACAGCCTGTAAAAAGTGTTTCTGATTCACCATACAATTCTTCTTTTTTGTTACACACAAATTCTTTTTTGTCATCAAATGTTAAGATTAGCACTGTGCAGAATTAGATCTAAGATAAAAATCAAGGTGTTCATTCCACTACTTAAAAAAGACTTTGATCATATATTTTGCTTCTATTTCTGAAAACAATTTGAAGGATAAAAAAGATTTGTTGATCAAGCTGTAACTAATTTCCAGAAAGGAATAACTAGTATCTGCCCATTAGACTTTCACAGCATATCTTAAAAATTATCAGTCTGCACAAAACATGGAAAAAGATCTGTGGTTTTCTGATTTGACTATTAGGCTGGAAAGGATCCTAGAAAAACATACTCCAACCCAAACCTCTCCTCCTCCTCCTACACATATAAGGAAATTAAAGAACCATATAAATTATGGAAGCACCAGAAGCAATTATCTTGCAATTCTCAGAGTATTTCACTGAAATCCACATGCCAAAAGCAAAAGTAACACATGTTATCTAAATACTAAGGTACAATGCTTGTCTATAGCAGACACTCATTGCTTATTTGTACCTTGAAAGAAGACTATTCTAGAGATAAAGATGCTTATTGATTCTTTGTGGTTCTTATCTCTTAATTATGGCTAACAAAAATATGATTATTCAATTGTGTATCAAATCGATGAGGTATATCCAACACTCCCTAATAACAAAGGAATCTGTAGAGCATGCAGTTAAATACATGGGGATATTACCACCACCTACCATCATTATAGTTCACTGACTTCTGCATACACTGCTGCTGGATATGTGAAACACAAATAAGCTTTTTAAAAAATATTCTGAAGATGTTGACAATAAGAGACACATAACGTTCCTAAACTTTAGATCCAATAACTTTGCTAAGTTGCTTGCTTCAACATTAATTTCTCAGGTAAAACACAACAAAAAATAACTCAAAACATTTTTATGCAATTATAATGACTCCTAACATTCTAATGTGAACTACAGGACAACCTTAGTATAGATCTTAAGATGACACAGAAAGGGTAGGTTTTCTTTATCCTGCCCCACTATTTACTAAAATATTTTTCTTATTCCAAAATACAGTCATGATAGCTCCCCTGCCTTCCAGAGAGAAATGAGATGCTTGTTTTCTGAAAACAAAAGGAGACAACCATTTTTCTAAGTTTCTTCTTTACCACTATCGCCTTGGAAACAGTCTTTTATTTCTCTCCCAAACAGATATGTAATAATGACAAAAACATCAAAAGGGATTAGACACAAAGATGAAGATCTGTTAATCTGTCACAAAAGATTATATTAAATATGCATGTTATAAATGTAATTAAATATATCTCAGAGGATGTGAATTACAAAAACAAATTTTAGGTACTGGTCTACAATCAGCCAGGTTGACTAGTTTCTCTTTAATTATCGCCTCATTAATTGATCAGTAACAACTGTAATTTCAGTTGTATGGTTTTGTGTTTTTTTTTTTTAATCCTACATTATTTTGCCCACACTTTAATTATAGTAGTAGTTTCTTTTGGATTGGTGTGATAAGGTCATTCTCTGCAGATAATACTGTAAATTATATCACAGCTTAATGAGTAACTGTAGGTAGATGAGTTTAACACAAGGAGCAAGCGAAACTGCCTTTATTTCTCCTACTAAATCATGGTGGAATCTGGCATTTTCTCTGTAGTTTGGTCAACAGTCAGTATGCCTGTATTTGAACCTCAGGTTTACAAGTCGCCTAACTGTTCATGTCTCCGTGTCCTCCCATGTTAGATCTGGGCTCACAGAGGGTTTATGAGGAACAAAGTCAAGCACTGAGAAGAGTACCAGGCATGTAACAAGCCCTCAGCAAATGCCAGCTGTTGGTGGAAGCTCAATATAGTAATACTATGTCCTCCCCCCACAATAATGGTTATTCTGGATCTATTTTTCAACAGGTCTACTTTTGCTTGTTCTTCCATTAATACCTCCTCCATCTTTAGCCTTTTAATTTTATCTGGTTTCTACTAGTATCTCTTTTGCTTTTCGCTACCACAGATGCCCCCCACAATGAAATCCCAGGATCTTAGCTGCTGGTTCACTCACACAAGACCTAAGTGGGCTGCACTACTTTCACAATAATGTCTAAGTCCTTCTTCCTCCTACATCCTGTACATCGCAACTGCGACCTGCCATTTCTTCATCCTACCTCCTTCACCTGACCTACCTGTGACCGTGTGCTCTAGCTCTACCCGTAGGCACACGAGTTGCCCTAACAGCTCATTTCTCCAGGCCAACAACAAATGTATTTGATATTCTATGTTCCTGCCTACCAAGGATTACCCCCAGTTCTGCACTCTCTTCTTAGCTTCTGTGGCCATTGGTGATACCATTCCTAATACACGTTCGGAGATATTTATTATCTCTTTTCTGTACTATAACAGTAATAATATATTTTTGATAGTTTTATGTTTGATTTTTAAAACTGTAGTAGCAAATTTACTGTCAAAAAAAATTGTATTTTATGTTCTTAAAACTTCTCATGAATTACAGATCTAATAATAGGATGTTTTCTAAGCATGAACAGTAAAACTTTTTTGTCATGGTGAGAAGTGAGATACTGGAATTGCTGCCCAAGAACTACTCACCAAATCCCCCCAGGGAATAAAGTAACAATAGCCTTTTACTCTGTAAGTCCCAATTATATCTCAAGAAAAACACCAGTAAAAATCTATCCATTAAGTTGATCATAGTTTTTTTAAAAAACACACTTGGGAAGAGTCAATAGGATGGCTTATCAGCTGTATAAACCACTGGCATAACTGTTACTAGTACGAGGTAAGGTTTACGGAGTCATCAGTATTTTTTCATTGCTTCTAACAGGAAAACGGTATAATCCGTTTCTATCATTCCAATGAATTGTCTGGGAAAGTATTTCCTTTTACTTTGTTCCTTCTTGTGTGAAGTAATTTTCAATGTACATAAAAAAACTGGAGTACCTGGGTGGCTCAGTCGGTTAAGTGCCAACTCTTGATTTTAGCTCTGGTCATGATCTTAGGGTTGTGAGATCAAGCCCCAAGTCGGGTTCCACGCTTAGCAAGGAGTCTGCTGAAGAATCTCTCTCTCCCTTTCCCTCTGTTCCTCCTGCTACTTGCGTGCTCTCTAAAATAAATCTTCTAAAAAAAAATGTACATA